CCTAACTAGTTTGATGCCTCATAATGAGCATTTGTCGCAGGCCGCATGAGTACGTGGCAAACTGTGAAATGAACAGATGAGCAGCGGAAAAGTCGGAAAATTGGGACCCGGCTGCTGACCAAAATCAATCGAAGTGAATCAATTACGCCATCCGTGCCGAATTCGCTCCTTTGCCGTCTCTTTCGGCCGCACCCCTACCCTTCTCCTTCACACACACCCACGCACACCCACACACACCCACGCACACCCACACACACCCACGCACACCCACACACACCCACACACACACTCAAAGGGTCGACGGACGAAGCGGCCTGAAGTGAAGTGAATATCGCGTTTGGTAATCGTGACAAATTCCGTCGAATGATGCGCACACTTCATTGAAGCGTCGCCATCGATGCCATCAGGAGCATCGAATGCCGCGGCATCGATGCCAACTGCTCCTAATTATATGTACATGTATATGTGTATGTATCTGTGCACGTGTATGTGTATGTGTCTGTACATCTATGTGTGTGCGTTGGGGAAAAAGGTCCACGAACTGTTAATTTCCATGGAAATGCCATTTGGTCCAGCAGCCGCCTTTGTCTTTGTCTCCGATTTTCACTCTTGCTGATTTGACTTTTGCCATGGGTTCGGCTAACTAAAGCACTGTAGAGCGATTTATGCGGCGAAAACATGGACATACAGCCATGTTTAATAATATTGATTTGAAGGTAACTTCCAGTTTAAGCATTTTGTAGCTCTTTAGATGTGATTTTCCTTGCTCAAGATTTTCATACTTTTGTGGGGCTTACTGTGTCTCATTTCCATTCTATTTTTCCCGTTGCCAACATTGCAGGGCTTCTATTTTTCTGCTGCCGTGGTTTACGGACTTCCTTCGCCTTGCTTTTTGCGGTTTTTGGCTTATATGCCACCGGATTTTGCTGGAATTCTAGAGAAACGGACGTCTGCCTGCGCAGCAGTAACTTTGGAGTATTTTATGTCACTCACATAGTCACGAAACTAAACCAATTAGAAAATGAAAAACCAAAGGTTTGCATGCCAGAGCTTAAGCACCCAAAAAAAAGTAGCCTATTCATTTTGGATGAGATTTCCGCAGGACGTGTGTACTTTGAGTACCTTAATGGGTTTCTCTGTGCCCGCTGCAGCTGTGATTGCACTTGCCCCTTCAGAAGGAGCTGCTCACTCGCCTCGGGCCCCTAATAAAACCAGGCTAAGCTGCTTCTAATGCCCCCTTTTAAGCCCCCCTTTTTATAGGCCAATAGTACAGTTGATGTTATTGTGGCCAGGACTCCGAAGTTGTTGCTGCTCGCAGCGCTTCGTTGAATGTTGTTGACAGGCTTTCAAGGGACTCCGAGACTCCGAGACTTCGAGACTTCGAGACTTGGAGACCTCAAGCCAACACCCCCGTTTGTATGTATTTATGTGGGTAGTAGGGAAGTGTGTGTGCGGCAAAGTTGGCATCCATTAAATTGAGTTTTTATATTGAGACGCTTGGCAGACGTCGGGTCCAACGGTAATTGAATTAGAAGTCCCCCACTCGACCTGGTATCTCATTTTTATATATGTATTTTTTTAGTTACTGGCCGGCAATTAAATGCAATTTATTAATATTTTCATGGCATTAAAGTGCTGTGGGTGTACTTTGCATTTGAGTGCCAGTAATCAATTCGTTATAAATAAACACTGTGCTGTCGTAAACTACGCAGCATAAAGTTGTAAAAATGCGAGAAACCTCACTTGTCACATCCATAAAGTAAGCCATCACTGAAACCCATTATAACTCTGGCATCCAGCTCAATTACGGCGCGAAGCTATTAAAAATGGACAAGGAGAGTTGTAGAACTTGAAATGAGAACTAGGAGTTCTTGTGCCACTTAAAACCATGTTCACTGACTCAAAAACAAGCCCCAAATCGAATTTATGGCTAGCTTAAATATTTTCCCACCTCGAAACTGGCGAACTTCTTTATCCGGCGAAAGCTGAAGCTCAACTGCATGCTAGGCTCAGCATTTCAGCTTGTACTTTAAGTGCACGACCCAATATTTCCTAATCTTGGCAATTAAAAACTAGCAGAGCTAATTTAACATGTGACGCCATGCTCAATATTCTTTATGGCGAAATTCCACCCGCTGTGATTTACGCCTTTCACCGCCTCAAAGTCTCATCACTTGAGGTTGGAAAACAAGCGATAAATATTCCACATACGCAGTGGTGTGCGCGCCGTAAGCACGAGAAACACTAAAACAAAACTGAAAACACTGAAAACAAAAGCAAGTCAAAAGCAAGTCAAAAGCAAGTGTGCCAGTATATCCGTGGGCAGTAAAGCAGTCACTTTCCAGCAATTTATTGCCGATGAATATGCACAGACATCTCCATTGAGTCCCATGCAGAATGCAGAAGGTGTTGACTGAATTGTTTCGCTGTTAACTGGAACACTTTTTCTGGCCCTTGTGTGGAGGAGTGGCCCTAACCCTCTGTTTCAGGGAAACAAAGCACACACATTGCACTAGAAAATATGATAATGTCTAGGCTCTATGCTCGCAAGTATATATTTCTACATTTATGAAACGCAGCCTAGTGTTGATAATTCCCAAATAAATAATTGCATGCATGGAACGGCTTTAATGTATTTCAATATTTGATTCCTCGTTTTGAGGCCTTTGTAGATGAAAGCTTTTCATTTTGGTTGACATTTTTCCGCTGCCGGCCTGGCAGCACCAAGTTGTCGGCCTATTTGTTATTGTTGACCGATTCTCCCCCCCATTTTTTTTTCGGTCCGTGTTCGCTATGAACACTCAACAAATATGCAGGCTGTGCGGAAAAGATAGCAACATCATGTGTACTGCTGGCAGATCCCGGGAAAAGCGGAGGGGCGGGGGCCTTGGGAACAATGCGGCAGTATTGGATGGGCCACCACCCACTTTGCAGTTCCGCTTTTCCCACAATATTTTCACTGGCTCCCGTGGAATCTGTGCGTATGTGTGTGTGTGTTTGCTTGTGTGTGTGAGTGTGTGTTTAGGGGGATTTGGCTTAATTAAATTCCGGAATAAAAGGATATTCCTCTGGGCAGCGCTTTAAGCTCGCCTTTATGTCTTTTGACAAAAGTCTTAGCGACTTATTCGAGTCAGCCTGCAGCTACAGATTTTAATTACGGCTATAAATCATAGGCATAGGCGGCAAGTCGGCTGGTGCAAAAACCCAACCCATATCACACCCTCAGCCTGTCATATTAATCGCAGTCGCATGGGAGCTCTTATCTCATAGTTATCTCGTGTAGGTACACGTGAAACATGTTGCAAGGGAAGCGATTTTAAAAATGATATGGCCGCAAAATATATTGCAATAAATATACTGGTTTGTAGAGGATATATTAGAGCGTGTAAATGTAATAACCTGGCGCTAGTCACTGCAATTGCTCTCAGTGTATCCGGCCTTTTTCAGGGTATGTAAATTAACAGCCCAAATTACTGCAGTTTCATTGTTCCCGGGGCCGCCAATCATTCTGATGCCTTCACAGTTCGTGGCCCAAATTTACAGCACACAAAAGTTGCGCATTAAAAAGTTCACCTAATAGTTGTTAGTTATCCCTTAACCAGCCCTTAACCGCACCCCTGCCCTCTGACCCCTGCCCCCTGCCCCCTGAACGTGCTGCAGGGAATTCATCAGCTAGCAAACTGGGCCTTCTGCTTCAATGGGGCCAAGCTGGCATAATTATTGCCAACTTTTGCCGCACGAGCACGGGTTTTCATTCCGAATGGCTGCCACAGGGCTTTATCTAATGGTGGGCACCCAAAATAGTTATACACCGCAGTTGATCACGCCGAATGGGGTCGTAAACTCGTGAGTGCCAAGTTAGCCGGAAGTTCGATGGCTCTATTCCCGCTGCTAGGTGTGCCACCAACTAATAAGCAGAAATCGCTGCTGCCTCCCGCCTCGCAAAAAAGGAGGGGAAAGTGAAAAGGTTCGATGTCCGAAGTGCGGAGCCCATAAAACTGGTTGCTAATTGCTTGGCAGGACCCACATCTTCGCACTTTACAACATTTTTAATGGCTGTCAGCGGAGACGCTGTGAGGAATCGCACATACACTCGTTCGCAGTGGCATGTGGCAATTGTGGCATAGTGGCATAGTGGCGAGTCGACTAAATGCCCTTTTGCGGGATTATCTGCGGCTACAGATCTTGGCCAGACTGGCGCGTGTTGCAAATAAATTCGTCGTTTTCAACTTGGCCTTTGTTTTTGCTTATTTTATTTTGTATATATATATTTACTGTATATATAGGTATGTTTATATATACATATTTATCTCGGCAACACTTGCCACTTGTTTGCTGTACATTTTAAAGTGAAAAAAGGCGCTGCGAAGGTCACGGCGCCGTCTCGTCCATTGTCCAACATTTTCGCTGGCATCGTTGCCACTCACAGTCCGCCCACTGCCACGCCCACCGCCCACCGCCCACCGCCCACCGCCCACCGCCACATTCAAGGCGTTCGACCAGGACTCACAAGTGGTCAAAAATCATGGCACCATCGCAACAGCCATTTGATTTATTATTTGGCCGAGGCATCCCCTTCACATACATATATAGTTGTCTGTATGTTTAAGCTTCGAAATAACTTTTTTGTATTTCCCATATTGAATACAGTTTCTGTTTTTTATGTTTGCACTACATATTGCTATAGAGTTTCAAGTATTTCGCTCTGATTGAATTGAAGCTCTCCAATTTTTTCAGGCTACGTCCCAATGAATAAAAAACTCTTGTGGACTTTCGTGTAACGGCAAAATTGAATTCAATTTGGAACAAAAGTTATCAATCTTTCATCAAAATGTTCTACGGAAAATGGGGTTCGGATAGTTTTCACATGATATGTTAAGCGTTGAAATTTGATTTAAAGTGTATTTAATTGGTGAATTAACTAATGTAAAATATATTCAATTGGTGCATTTACTGTTCAATGAAACAACCTCAATACCAATACGTTTTTATGGACTTACCTACTGTAATTTTGACTTGGATTAGTTTTCCCTCGCGAATTCAGAGCTGCAATGAAAATGTGGACGAAGTGCTTTAGTTTTCCATTGGCAATTAACGCAGGTCAATCCCATATATCACTCATACGCCCGGTAGGTCCAGTTCGGTCTGCTTGTCAGCTGATAAGGGCAGCTCCTCGAAATCGCCGGACAACTGGAAGTGGACAACGACCTCACCGAGATCGGGATTCATTCCACCGCCCGATTTCGGATTCACTTTCGCCCTTGATGAATCTGGGAATCGGGGAACAGGGGAATCGGGGAATCAGGGAATCTGGGGTCGCTGACTAATGTCCTGCTCGCGGTTGATTTGTAATTTATTTTCGTATTCTCGGCTGCCCTAGGAGCAAATAAATTTTAAATAAGGTCAACAAAATACTGGGGCTCCTGCTAATTGCTACAAGCATCGCCTTTCTTTTGGTCCTACTTAAACACTCAAATGGCCATAAATTTTCTCCGCTTTCGGGCAAAGAAGGGTCAATGTGTGAACATGCAAAACACCAAAAAAGGGAACAAAGAATCGGTATCGGTGGAAAATCAACATCCACGTCCTGGAAAAATTCCGCTTCTCTGTTTGGTTACACTGTCCCGTCCGTTCCCCATTCCCCATCCCCCATCCGCACATTTTCCATCCATTCGCTAGCTGTTTTCATTTTATTTTTCGCTGTCATGTTGCCTGTCACTCTGGCACCAAAAAAAGTGTTAATCGAACTACAGAAAAGGTTGAAAACCGTATTTATACTTATAAAAAGGTTAGCACTAGTGATCAAAATTCTGTTTAGCTGACAAAGTTTTCTGCTCTGCCCTTTGTGTGGACTAAATAAGTTTGTTTCTCTTCAAAAATGACCCATACGCCATGTGGTGCTTACAAATCGAAAGGGTTTTTTCCACGCAACCGCACTTATTAAATTCATCATTATATTCATCAATATAGGTCGCAACTCAAAGTTAGAGTAAGTTTCAAAAAGTTTGGGGAGTGTCAGCGACAAACATTGATTTTGTATGATTTTTAGCCCATCGCAAGTATTGAACATTTTCAAAAAGTCCTTTTTCCGATTTTCCGTCATAATATAATTCGTTTTTTTGCCACATTTTTAAAAATAATTGTCGGAATATGGAATGCCATACCTCGTTGAGCTCGTATTTAAATTTCCAATCGAACTGTGTTCAAAAATGAGAACTCTATTTTTTTGCCATTTTTTGCAAATTTTGATGATGTTACCCCTTACAAAAAATGCGAAAATTGACCGAAAAATAAATTTTCCTAAATCGATCAAAAAGTGATAGGGATAGTTAGCATTGGTAATTAGCTGCTCAAAACTGTTATTATTTTATCTTTATGATAATTTTTACCGAAGTTATGATGAAAATTCCCATCGAAAATATCGAATATTTGCCAAAAGTCGTTTTTCGCAATTTCCGTCATAAAATAATCAGTTTTTTTGCCACAACTTTAAAAATAATTGTCTGAATACGATATGTTATACGCCGTTGAACTCGTAATTAAATTTCCAATCGAACTGTGTTCAAAAATGGGAACTCTATTTTTTTGCCATTTTTTGCAAATTTTGATGATGTTACCCCTTACAAAAAATGCGAAAATTGACCGAAAAATAAATTTTCCTAAATCGATCAAAAAGTGATAGGGATAGTTAGCATTGGTAATTAGCTTCTCAAAACTGTTATTATTTTATCTTTATGATAATTTTTACCGAAGTTATGATGAAAATTCCCATCGAAAGCATGGAATATTTTCCAAAAGTCGTTTTTTTCGATTTTCCGTCATAATATAATCAGTTTTTATGCCACAACTTTATAAATAATTGTCTGAATACGAAATGTAATACCTCGTTGAGCTCGTTATTAAATTTCTAATCGAACTGTGTTAAAAAATGGGAACTCAATTTTTTTGCCATTTTTTGCAAATTTTGATGATGTTACCCCTTACAAAAAATGCGAAAATTGACCGAAAAATAAATTTTCCTAAATCGATCAAAAAGTGATAGGGATAGTTAGCATTGGTAATTAGCTGCTCAAAACTGTTATTATTTTATCTTTATGATAATTTTTACCGAAGTTATGATGAAAATTCCCATCGAAAATATCGAATATTTTCCAAAAGTCGTTTTTTTCGATTTTCCGTCATAATATAATCAGTTTTTATGCCACAACTTTATAAATAATTGTCTGAATACGAAATGTAATACCTCGTTGAGCTCGTTATTAAATTTCTAATCGAACTGTGTTAAAAAATGGGAACTCAATTTTTTTGCCATTTTTTGCAAATTTTGATGATGTTACCCCTTACAAAAAATGCGAAAATTGACCGAAAAATAAATTTTCCTAAATCGATCAAAAAGTGATAGGGATAGTTAGCATTGGTAATTAGCTGCTCAAAACTGTTATTATTTTATCTTTATGATCATTTTTACCGAAGTTATGATGAAAATTCCCATCGAAAATATCGAATATATGCCAAAAGTCGTTTTTCGCAATTTCCGTCATAAAATAATCAGTTTTTTTGCCACAACTTTAAAAATAATTGTCTGAATACGATATGTAATACGCCGTTGAACTCGTAATTAAATTTCCAATCGAACTGTGTTAAAAAATGGGAACTCAATTTTTTTGCAATTTTTTGCAAATTTTGATGATGTTACCCCTTACAAAAAATGCGAAAATTGACCGAAAAATAAATTTTCCTAAATCGATCAAAAAGTGATAGGGATAGTTAGCATTGGTAATTAGCTGCTCAAAACTGTTATTATTTTATCTTTATGATAATTTTTACCGAAGTTATGATGAAAATTCCCATCGAAAATATCGAATATTTTCCAAAAGTCGTTTTTTTCGATTTTCCGTCATAATATAATCAGTTTTTTTGCCACAACTTTAAAAATAATTGTCTGAATACGATATGTAATACGCCGTTGAACTCGTAATTAAATTTCCAATCGAACTGTGTTAAAAAATTGGAACTCTATTTTTTTGCCATTTTTGGCAAATTTTGATGATGTTACCCCTTACAAAAAATGCGAAAATTGACCGAAAAATAAATTTTCCTAAATCGATCAAAAAGTGATAGGGATAGTTAGCATTGGTAATTAGCTGCTCAAAACTGTTATTATTTTATCTTTATGATAATTTTTACCGAAGTTATGATGAAAATTCCCATCGAAAATATCGAATATTTTCCAAAAGTCGTTTTTTTCGATTTTCCGTCATAATATAATCAGTTTTTTTGCCACAACTTTAAAAATAATTGTCTGAATACGATATGTAATACGCCGTTGAACTCGTAATTAAATTTCCAATCGAACTGTGTTAAAAAATGGGAACTCAATTTTTTTGCCATTTTTGGCAAATTTTGATGATGTTACCCCTTACAAAAAATGCGAAAATTGACCGAAAAATAAATTTTCCTAAATCGATCAAAAAGTGATAGGGATAGTTAGCATTGGTAATTAGCTGCTCAAAACTGTTATTATTTTATCTTTATGATAATTTTTACCGAAGTTATGATGAAAATTCCCATCGAAAATATCGAATATTTTCCAAAAGTCGTTTTTTTCGATTTTCCGTCATAATATAATCAGTTTTTATGCCACAACTTTATAAATAATTGTCTGAATACGAAATGTAATACCTCGTTGAGCTCGTTATTAAATTTCTAATCGAACTGTGTTAAAAAATGGGAACTCCATTTTTTTGCCATTTTTTGCAAATTTTGATGATGTTACCCCTTACAAAAAATGCGAAAATTGACCGAAAAATAAATTTTCCTAAATCGATCAAAAAGTGATAGGGATAGTTAGCATTGGTAATTAGCTGCTCAAAACTGTTATTATTTTATCTTTATGATAATTTTTACCGAAGTTATGATGAAAATTCCCATCGAAAATATCGAATATTTTCCAAAAGTCGTTTTTTTTCGATTTTCCGTCACAATATAATCAGTTTTTTTGCCACAACTTTAAAAATAATTGTCTGAATACGATATGTAATACGCCGTTGAACTCGTAATTAAATTTCCAATCGAACTGTGTTAAAAAATGGGAACTCAATTTGTTTGCCATTTTTTGCAAATTTTGATGATGTTACCCCTTACAAAAAATGCGAAAATTGACCGAAAAATAAATTTTCCTAAATCGATCAAAAAGTGATAGGGATAGTTAGCATTGGTAATTAGCTGCTCAAAACTGTTATTATTTTATCTTTATGATAATTTTTACCGAAGTTATGATGAAAATTCCCATCGAAAATATCGAATATTTTCCAAAAGTCGTTTTTTTCGATTTTCCGTCATAATATAATCAGTTTTTATGCCACAACTTTATAAATAATTGTCTGAATACGATATGTAATACGCCGTTGAACTCGTAATTAAATTTCCAATCGAACTGTGTTAAAAAATGGGAACTCAATTTTTTTGCCATTTTTTGCAAATTTTGATGATGTTACCCCTTACAAAAAATGCGAAAATTGACCGAAAAATAAATTTTCCTAAATCGATCAAAAAGTGATAGGGATAGTTAGCATTGGTAATTAGCTGCTCAAAACTGTTATTATTTTATCTTTATGATAATTTTTACCGAAGTTATGATGAAAATTCCCATCGAAAATATCGAATATTTTCCAAAAGTCGTTTTTTTCGATTTTCCGTCATAAAATAATCAGTTTTTTTGCCACAACTTTAAAAATAATTGTCTGAATATGGAATGTAATACCTCGTTGAATTTGTAATTAAATTTCCAATCGAACTGTGTTCGAAAATGGGAACTCAATTTTTTTGCCATTTTTTGCAAATTTTGATGATGTTACCCCTTACAAAAAATGCGAAAATTGACCGAAAAATAAATTTTCCTAAATCGATCAAAAAGTGATAGGGATAGTTAGCATTGGTAATTAGCTGCTCAAAACTGTTATTATTTTATCTTTATGATAATTTTTACCGAAGTTATGATGAAAATTCCCATCGAAAATATCGAATATTTTCCAAAAGTCGTTTTT